CTTCCGATCAAAAGCTTAAGACAAATATTAAGTGTATTCAAATTCAGAATGCTGCATAATTTCTGGCTTCTATATGCTTTCAAAATGTGAGTTTTGACATAGGACTTTCTGGTAGTTTAGCTTAAACTTTGGTTTAGTCTGTTTAAGCTTTCTCAATGTTCAAGTCTATGCTGTACTTTTGGTATTCAGAGTATTCCAGTTACCTGGAATGACAGGAAAATTCTGAGTGTAGTTAGTAGAAGGCCTGATGTTCATCAAAATTCATCAAAACCTTCCTTGGAAACTAATATAAATCTATGAAATTCAGGTTGCTTCAATCAAAGGGATAAGGAATTGTGACAAGTTATTTGAAAAGTAAAATGCAAATAATCCATAAGCTTGATGGGTAATTTCAGCCTAAAATCTATGCATTTTATGTTTAAGAGATTTAAGAACTGGATGTATGTGAGGCTGTGTATGAAGTAGGTATTCACATTATGTAGAGGTGACCCGGGAGTGAATGACAGCATATTCCAGGGTTTAGATTGCCTCTTCCTCACATAGTAGGAATTTACTTAGACATGGGTGAGCCTGCTGCTGGGGCTGGTCATCCTGTCTTCCCTTTTATCAAATCTTGGACTCTGAAAGAAGAAAGGGTGGGACTGAGGATTGCAGATGTGATGTGGCATGTCCTTGGCTCTTACTGGTCTTGCTCCAAGCATGCAGCTGTCTGCAGTGTTGTGTGTGTTCCTTGGCTTTACCATATTCTTGCTTAGCTTCTTAGATCATCTTTTTTGAGGCAAATGCTATGCTTGTGGTGCTGCAAGGGCAATTTGCTTAATGTTTTCTTTTAAATGCAGTGGTAATGACCTTAAACTTGAACTGTTGATATGAAGGAATATGAGAACTATCATATGCTTTCATTATTTTTTATGATCCGATGGTAGAATATAACAGCTTAAGTTCCCAGTGTCTTATTTACAGACTTTCCATACTTAGTTCAACTTTTATTTGTATTTCTGGGTGTTTACATATTCTGACAGCTCTTATGGAAACTGTTTGAGAAAACGATCCTTAATCTTTTTAGGCTGCTGCGATATTGACTGTGACTTCTCCTCCAGGTGCCCAGATTATTGATCTGATGATGCTGGTTATCGATGTGACAAAAGGGATGCAGACACAGTCAGCAGAGTGCTTGGTCATTGGGCAGATTGCCTGCCAGAAGATGGTGGTAGTTCTGAACAAAATAGATCTCCTTCCAGAGGGGAAGAGACAGAGTGCCATTGAGAAGATGACGAAGAAAATGCAGAAGACCTTGGAAAATACTAAGTAAGTTATTGGTAGTATTAACAGTGAACTTGGAGTGTTTAACAAAAATACTTGACCCACATTTCCCTTCCAGTGTGCTTCTAAACATGACTATCTAGCAAAGGTGATGACAGGAGAGTGGAAAGATTACCAGAAACTCTAGTGCACCCCTGAATTTGCCTGTGCAAATATAATTTATAGAGAAATACTTCCCTATAACAAAGCTCTTCAGTTTAAAGGGCTGTTTGGAGTTCAGATTGGCTAAAGCTGAGGCAGAACATCCAGGTGGTGGTGGTGTGTTTGTTTTGGTTTGGGGTTTTTTTTTGTGCTTTTTGTTGGTTTTTTTTCCTCCAGTTTATGGGCTTGCAACTTTGAGAACTGCAAGTTACTTTCACTCCAGGGAAAATGGAGTCTTGGAGCTCTGCCTTAACTAGGGGTGAGAAGTGGCATTGCCTGAAGCAGGCAGAGCAGAATGGTGGAAGTTTCTATCATTTAACATGGCTCTGCCTGGGATGGTGTTTCAGTCCTGTTAAGGTACATAATGAAGTGCAGGGAGATTCCTGAGTGGAAATGTTAGTGTTATGCAATGGGAAGATACAACATAGATCACAATATTTATTTGGTGGTTTCACAAACTGGAGCACAGCTGGCTTTGCCCAGGGATAGAAGCTGTTAGGTCACGTTACGATTGAAGGAATAGGATTTGGTGTACAGAAAAGCTTCACTAGGACCAAGAAAGTGAAGCTCGACTGGGTATGGCAATTCCTGTTTAGTTGTGATGGCAGGGCACTGTCCTTCTTCAACTGTGCAGCTGACACAGAAGAACATTAAGGACTTGAAGAGTAAAATTCATTGTAAGATGAAAGCTAAACTGAGGCTGACTGAAGTACTGCTCTTCTCTGCACCTTTGTGTTTGAGACCTGTGCATTTTGTGAACTTTGATTTCAGCAGATTCAGACATTTTTGTTGGCTGCAGACCTTGTAGTCTGCCTGCAGCCTCAGGTACACATCATGTGCCGCCTTGCATTGGGCTCCTGTTTTGAAGGTTATGACTCCAGCTCAGGCTATGATTGTTTTAATGACAGTTGAAAAAAGCATTGGTCTTTCTCTCTTTCAGGTTCTGTGGGTGCCCTATTGTTGCTGTTGCAGCAAAGCCTGGTGGACCAGAAGCCCCAGAGTCTGAGAATCCTCTAGGTGTTTCCGAATTAATCGAGGTACCTGCTCAAGAACATCATAGTAACACAAAACAGGCTCGAACTTTGGTTTCAGTCTTTTGGAGTGCACTGTATTAGTATCTAGAGCTGAGGAACTCCTACAGTAATGTCAGTTTTAAGGAACCTGATACTTCAGGGTGTCCTTCCAGTAAATGGAGAATCATAGAGTAGTTCGGGTTGAAGGGACCTTCAAAGGTCATCTAGTCCAAATCCCCTGCAATGAGCAGGGACATCTTTAACTAGATCAGGTTGAGAAGTTGAGGTTGATGCCCCAAAAGGCTTCAATGCTTTTGAATAGGTGTTTCTTAAGACACAGCTATCACACGTGTGGTAAAATTGTTTTTAAAGTTGAAAGAATTGCAAAGCCTAAGGAATAAAAATAGCTTTAAAATTCTGCTGAGTGCTTGGTAGGTGGTTTACGATTGTACCACAGTTAAGAGAACAGTAAAGCTGTGAAGTCAGGAGCTAAGAAAGTTACATGTTGGGAATTGTCTCCTTCCTTCTGTGTGTATTATGATCCAGTGTTTAAGTGCATGGTACTTTATTCTAAACAACCCTTGCCTCGTTCCTTGCACAGGATGGAGAGAGCTCAGCTGGTGAGCAGGTAGTCCATAGCTGGTTTGAATGCTCATTATTCTGTGTGGCCTCCTGACTCCATTCAAATACTGCTCTGCATTCAGAATGATTGATTTCCTCCTGGACTTTTCTTTGGCACCCATTGCTGTGGTCTTGAGCATTTGGCAAACAGCTAATTTACTTCCAAAAGACCTATAGGAAGTGTTAAAGGTGACTTTAATCCATATTTAGATTGGGAGGCTGAGGCACAAAGGAATTAAATCCACTGAGTTTACTAATTTGATTTGCTAAATTTAAGGAAATTGGGAACTCCTCTGGGACATGTTTGTGCCCAGATCACAGCACCTGCCAATTTTGATTCCAATTGTGAGAGCTTAGCACTTCTGTTAAGCTTTGGGGGTTCTGTTTGGGTAGTCTGAGGGGTATAGTCAGTGATCACCTGTGGAAAGTTTAATTGTTAGAAGAATGACAACACGTGGGAGTTCTGGCATAAGCCAGTGTGGACTCCATCCTCCTGCCTTCATGCTGAAACCATCTTTCTCTGTGATACTTTGCTTACTGCATGCCTTGCATATCTGCAAAAGATAAAAAGCGGGACTAGACCTTAGCAAGAACCAGACTACCCACAGCAATGTCTAGAGAGGTGAAGTTAGGCAGGTCCCGGGTTCTGCTTTCATCTGATTCTGAGTAGATTTACTGGGATATTAAAACCTTTGAAAGAAATACCTATATGCTACCGTTTGTCAACTCTGAAGCCTAGTATTAGAAGAGCTGGCAAATGCTGTTTGAGCCCTGGCATTGAGTTTCAAGGTATTATCCTTCCTGTCCTTGGCAAGGGACTCTCCATTGTTCTGCCATTACAACTTTGGCTTAACCAGCAGTTTCTGACCTTAAAAGCAGACATTAAAGGCAGTGCCAACCTTGTATGCTGGTTTTATAACAGAGCAGAGATCAAAAGTGATTTGAGACAGGGGAGAAACCAGTTCCTCTGAAACACTGTTGGGTACACAGCTACTTCTATAATTTGGCTCTTCTGTCTATGATGACAGATTTTAAGAAATAGTGTTTGTCAGCAAAACAGAAATCCTAAACTTGGAGAATGTCTCTAGAAAATGGTACTTGTGTGGCTGTTTTTTTAGTGGTTTGATCTTCCAAGAAGTGTTAACTGAAATCTGAAGGGAAAGTGGACTTTGAAAACTGAACCCAGTGTAATAGTTTTGCTGGGAGGGAGGCAGGGATGGGATTTATGGGGCACTAATATCTGTACATAAGTTCATTTTCACAAAATCTAAAAAAGCTGAAGTAGCAAAATGCACTGTAAAATTGTGCTTTTGAGAAAGGAAAGAAAAGGGGGGTGGGGGGAAACACGATGTACAGGATATTTTCTCTTTGCTTTGCTGCAGTGTTTATATTGAGTTTGGCAGCACCTTTATTGCCGGTGCAGTTTTGCTAACCAAGCGAAATGTGCAGCACCAAATCTTTCTAAGGCAGAAAATCGAAGTGTTCCTGCTGCTAACTGTGAGTCTCCTCTGTGGCACACAGTTAATTTGACATTGGTGCGTTCTAAGCTCATTGGGAGATGCCTGAAGTCAGTAAAATTGCAAGCTTGCTCCATCAATCATCCGCTTGCCTGCCTCTTGCTCCATGGCTGTCATGACTTTTCACCCACGTATGGTGCTGCTTTTATCTTCTTTTTTCAGGTCCTGAAGTCTCAGGCTTACCTGCCATCAAGAGACCCCTCAGGACACTTCCTCATGGCAGTTGACCACTGCTTCTCTATCAAGGGTCAAGGCACGGTGATGACAGGGACTATTCTTTCTGGCTCTGTTAGCCTTGGTGACAATGTGGAGATTCCTGCCCTGAAGGTGAGTCTCTCATTTTCATTCCCCCCAGTTTTCCTGATAGAAAGAGACACTCAACAAAGAAGAGAGTGTTCTCTTCCAATCTGAAATTGTCCAATTATTTTCTATTACTTTGTACTCTCCTATAAGCCAGCTTATAATAGGAGAGACACAGAGATTTTTAAATAAGGCAGCAAGTGAAGTTACCTGCTCTGTTTCAGTTGAATGAATGCTGACCTAGATTAGTGTGTTAAACTTTCAAATTCAAAAAGCAAAGTGGGCATGTTTCCAAGATAGAATGTGCCCAAGGACTGAACATGGTTTGGGTGAGGTTACTTTCATTTGACACATACTGCAGTGGGAAGGCTTACACAAGGATCCGGGTAGGTTGGCTTCCTGGCATGTATGGAAGTGAAGGAAATGACAAGAAAAGGGCATTGAAATGCTTGATGCACATTCTCTTTGTTTGCTGGGGCTTTTATTGGTGTCAGCATGTTCTGCTGGGCTGCAGTAGTGACTTGCTGCCATTGGGCTTTGTAGAGAGCCTGTTGAAACACCTTTCAATGGCCTTTAAACTGCTTAACTGTTGTTACTGTTTTATTTCCTTAAAAATCTATTTGTCCTTTAAAAGCAAACAAGGTGACTTTATGCTTGGAACAGGTGAGGCCTGTTTCACAGATGCTGATTTGGACTGCTCTGACTTGCCCTTCTTATTAATTGCCCCAGATGAGTTCAAGAATTGTGGAGCATTTTGCAGCTGCACTTACAGTGGATGCAGCCAGTTACATTCCAAGGGGAGGTACCTTTTGGTTGACCAAGCCTGGATGGGACCCCTTTGGGGACTGTCAGTATTATCCTCAAGTCATGTTACTGTAAGGACTGTAATCTCTTATTGAGTGAGCATGCTACTTTCTCATTTTTGCCCATACTGTGCGTGCAAGTGAAGGACTCGGTGGGGCATTGTGATTCCACCTGAAGTTTTGCTGATAGCTGACAATCTGGTCATCCTCTTCTGTGGTAGCTGTGGCCATCCAGTTTATATCATATTATCCTTTGTGTAAAAGTGATTTGGGTGATGTGTACCCCATCATGCCTGCTTTCCCAGGGGACTTGCTCACTTCCCATATCCTCATTTGCAGCATGCAGCCCATTCCAGGACCCATGCTTTTATAATTCTTGAAGGAATATGCTTTGCTGGAATTGTAGCTCTGGTTTCAACCTCTCAAGCTTTGCCCTTGCCAGCATTCCTTCTCTTTTCTGTTGTGACCTGCGTGCTGTCCTGGGCCTGTCTGCAAAATGGGTCCAAGGAGAGATGAGTAGGTAGGAGGACAAGGCTGCTGAAATCTGGGTGATGATGGCTTCTGCCCAATGGGGCCTTGCATTGCTCATTAGCTACTTGCCTTTTGGTATAGCATTGGCCAGACTTCTGTGGGTTTGTGCTCTGGAGGTGGGGGTGGGACAGAGCAGAGTCATTATTGCTTGCAAAGGAAGAATGCATAACTAGATGGCATCTGGAAAAGGCTGTTCAGCTCTTCGTGTGTAGTCCAAGAATGTTTTAGAGAAATATGTTTAGGAATTAGTCTGCTCATTGAGAATGTATGTGAAGGGGGAAATGACAAAAATACAATTAATAACTTGCATGTTTGAAAGGATGGTAGGGAACGTTTGAAGTGGGACTTTAAAAGATGCTTCTTTGCAAGTGATGGGGGGAGCAGTGAAATGAAAGGCAAGTTAGCAGGTAAATGGGTCACTTGGCTTTTATGGCATTAACTTCCCTCAAAGTTGTAGTTATTTTCAATTGCTGTTAATGAATTAATCCTTCCACTGCCACATGTGAAACAGAGGGATGTGCCCAGACTTCTGAGTGGTAATAGCAGCAGGCAGAGTTCTGCATGTTGGTTTTTGCTACTAGCAGCTCGTGAATATCCATGTCCATGTTGTACAGGTCTGGAAACCAAGGCACAGGGAAGAGAAGCAGCTTTTGTAAGTTTGTGTGTTGTACTTACTCCTACTAGCATTGTATGGAGCTGGGTTAGGATTACCTATACGAGGTCAAACCTTTCTCAGGCCTACAAGGTAACGGAGGAAGCACATTTCACAACACATTGTGGTTTATGACTCTCTCTGACCTTCTTCTGCCCTGACCCTATGGTAACTGAGATTGACAGCTGGTGCCCACTGGGCATTTAGGGACATTGCAAACCAGCTGCTTTTTACATTTGAAGAGCCCTCTCACCAAATGAAGTGGCATCACCTCCCAGTTCTACTAATGGACTTCGACATCTTTGACCGCTTGAACCTGCACAAAGGAGGGACACAGCAATTAAAAATAAACAGTGACATTCTCAAACGCTCATGCTTGCTCTGATCGAGGCTGAGAGCACCAGCAGTGCACAGATTCCTTTATGCTCTTGCCTATGTAAATTGCCATCTGGGGTTGATTATCCATATAGCGAAAAGAAAAATTATATGTATGTGTTTGGCAAAAAGCTTTGACAGAGCAAACAGTTCACTATCCAATTGAGTTAGTGCTATTTGCTCACTAGCACTTAAAATCCACCTTGAAGAGCATGAACCCAGGTTTTCTGCAGCAAAAATGTCATGTTGGCAGAATTCTCAGTGTCCTTTCAGATTATTTCAGTGGTCTTTCAATCTCTACAGTCTTTCAGTTTATAAACTTTAACAACTCCTGACATTTCTATTTCTGCTTTATGGAAGTTCCTGGAGTTTGAATAATCAGGATTTTTTTTCAATATAGGTTCATTTTATTTTACTGATAGGTTTGGGGGTAATCACTTCAAAATATTTATCCAAGTATATTTTGTTTAAAGAATTTAGTTTAAATGAGTATGTTTGTCACATTGCAGTGCTGCTTTGTCTTTTTACAGCATGCTTTAGTTGAGAAAAGGTGCTGTTTTCAGTGGCGGAGAAGTATCTTTGCCTACCCTATCCAGGTGAAAAAGAAATTATAGCTTAAGAACAGCAGCTACTTAGTAGGCAGAAAACTAGGCAAGAACCAGGAGTTTAGCTCTTATCATTGTATGTCTCAATCCTTGTGTGATAAGTAGTGCAAAATGTTGTGGCCTGTGGTCTTCCTTGTGCCCAGTGTTAGTGATTCTGGAATTGGATTGCAGTTTGCAATCACATGAGAAATACTGGAGGATTGGGTAAACCAGATGATATGTTAATACTCCTTCCAAGATGTTTTAGGGCAAGAAAATGTGCCAGGTTGGTTAATAAGAATCACTCTCTGTCAAGAGTTGTGAAAGGTCATGGAAGAGGTCAAGTCTGAATGGAGTGAGGAGGCAGAGATAGATGTACACAGTTAATGGATATAAATCTGGCCACCCGGGAAGTGTTGACTCAGCGTTGCCCTACCTGTGATCAAGTGCTGCAGGTATGTGACAGCCAAGTGCACTGACCACCATTGGCTCTTTCTGGACTTGTGATAAGTAGAAACTTTCTTCTTGCTTTATATTCAAGTTCCTATCTCTTCAACGGAGGAGAGGAATATTCATATCATATCCAAATTTCACCATCCTTGAGGTTTGCAATAGGCAATTGCTGTTATAATTAATGTTGAGTGTTTTGATCTCGGAAGTTGTGAGCATGTTTATGTGAAATGATGTTCCTGTGGTTGTAGAGTAGTTATCCAGATGCCTCAGTATTTGATGCACTTTCAAGAGGTCATCTGAGACATCAGAATGTGCAAAATGAGGGATACCTGCCTCTGTTTATCTAGTTAAGTCTCCTAGTAAACGACTGTCTGTTTACACCAGTAGTGAATTCTGTCTTGGCAAGGGCCTATTTGCTGTCAGATTCTATTGACTTTATGAACTCTTATAGAAGCCTCATTTAGTAAGTGTGGTACTGAGAAGCTTCATGGCTTCATATACTTCCACGATATGAAAAGAGATTTCTGTTTTTAAAGCTTCTTTGTTGGCTAGATAAACTCAGTGTGTTTTTTGGCAAACATTTTGTAGTTTTTATGGCTTATCAAACAAAAAAATTCTCCAGTGTCTGATAAATAACCCAAACAGTGTTTGCAAGACTGTTTCCTTAAACCACCACAGCTATTAAAGTTGTAACAGATAGATCTGCTTTTGCCCCCATGTGAGTCCTTCAGCCTATCTGATATCCCAAGACCCCTCATGAGTGAGCTTTAGTGTACATACATGTAGTAAGAACTAATTTCAGTGTATTTAAGGCCTTTTTGCATAATCAGAGTTGCATGGTTAAGTCTTGTCAGAGAACATTTAAATCTCAGAAAACAAAATTGGATCAAATGCTGCTAAATTGGATCACAAAGACACTTTCATGTGGACTTCCATGGTGAAATCTTAAATCAGTTTTTACCACTATTATTTTGAGTTCTTTGGACCTCATAATACGCCCCTTCCGAATTTCAGGATATCTTGACTGCTTTTTGCACTTTTGTTTTGCTTACTAAATTGTAATTTTTCCAGTGCTGCTTAGATTTTTCTTGCCCTGTGCTGATATAAAAGGTCTTTCAAATGTTGGGATTCATCTACTGGCTCACTGTGTGTGAGTTTTCTGTTCATTGAAATGCTGTGAAAAAGGGCACTTCAGGAGGTCAGGTTGGAGGGAGAATCAATGAGATGTAACTGATAAAACTGTGAAAAGGCAGTTCATAGTATGTATTAAAATATGTGATAAAGTACGAGAATCTTAGATCCTAAATCAATAAATGAACATATACACATAATGTTGTATATGTGGTTTAATTCAGTACAAGTATCAAACTATTCCTTTAATTCTCTACCACTTCTAAAGCAGGGCTTGTGTGTTCTGGAGATTTTCTCCTTTTCCTAGAAAACATCAGTGTGAATCCTACGAGTTTTGCATCTGCTGTGGCACTTAAAAGCAAAACACACAGGATTTGGCTTACACAGGCAAGTACTCTGCTTCCAACATCAAGGATATTATCAGTTGTTTTGGAAGAACTAAACTCCTCAGCACAGTTCTTTGTGGTTAAGTAAAGGATTAAAGACCTGATCCAGTGC